TGAGCGCCGCCTTCAGCGGGCCCCGCATCGCCTTCTACGTGGGGCTCAAGAGTCCCCACGAGGGCTATGAGGTCCTCAAGTTCGACGACGTGGTGACCAACCTGGGCAACCACTACGACCCGGCCAGCGGCAAGTTCACCTGCCAGGTSCGCGGCATCTACTTCTTCACCTACCACATCCTCATGCGCGGCGGCGACGGYACCAGCATGTGGGCCGACCTCTGCAAGAACGGCCAGGTGGGTTCCGCCGCTTCCCCGCGGGTCCTCCCCGCCCGGTGTCCCCCGGCCGTCCCCCTCCCGCCGTCCCCGTGCCCCGGCCGCGGTGCTGACCGCCGCCACTCCCGGCCAGAGAAGCGGCGGGAGCATCCTTGGCGCCGTCGGGGCGGGGGGRCACTTCTAGAGCCGCGACAATTTCCGAGCTTCCTGCGTGCAAACTTTCCTGCCGGGTTGGGAGGAAGGAGAAGAGAGGGGCGGGAGGGCGGACACGGGGTAGTGGAGGGATGGGGAAAGAGGGGACCGGGCCATTGATGGAGGGGCTGAGGAAGAGTGGCTYGGGGGGCTCACGGGGACTCTGGCGGAGAGGGGCTGGGGGACTGATGTGCCCAGCGGCTGTGTTGGCAGGTGCGGGCCAGTGCCATCGCCCAAGACGCAGACCAGAACTACGACTATGCCAGCAACAGCGTGGTGCTGCACCTGGACTCCGGCGAYGAAGTGTATGTCAAGCTGGACGGAGGCAAAGCACACGGAGGCAACAACAATAAGTACAGCACTTTCTCTGGCTTTCTTTTATACCCTGATTAACACACAACAAGCGACACGACACAACTGGCCCCGCCAYTGATGCACATGGGGCTGTTTGGCATTTCCATACCCCCTCGTGCTGCTGTTCCTGCTGGTGTCCATGGTCTCTGCGGGTCACTTTAGCTTCATTATCAGTTTGTATGTTTTTATTTTCGCCCTTGTGGAAACGAAATAGAAGTGAAACAAAGTGATCCCCTTCCTTAATCTCCCCCATTTCTTCTGACCCCCCCTTTCCCTTTTGTCAGCCTGTTTTGTGTGTCACGAGGGAATCGGCAGCTTGAAACTTTGGAGTGGTTCCGGGGGGGCTTAAGAGAGCCCAGAGTTTGGACTGTGTCACACATGGAATTTGAACAGGTCACATTTTTTCATCAAAAAGTATTAATGATGATGATGAATTTCCAGATCGACTATTCACGAAGTGGGACTGGATCATAACTAYTTTTCCCTCTGCTGCTTTGTATGGGGTCAAGTGTAAACTTTTCTTTCTGTGCAATGCAATGCTCATGTGAATGATGGTGTCATTAACGTCAAACCTGTTTCTGTCTGCAAAAGAATTTGGTCATTGACCACAGTCACCCAAATACCACATTAAATTATGTTTTTAGACAATGCCTTCTTGCTTTTTGTCTCTTCCAGTGCTGCAAAGGAGCRCTGTAGTGGTGCCACAGGAGGGTGGGAAGTAAAGGAGGGGGTCACTTCAGTCCYTTAGGTTTACAGCAATGTTTAAAGTAAGGATGGGTATCTTGCCTAGGTCTTGATTATGGTTCAAGGGGGTTTGGCAGAAGTAGAGAGAGAGGAAAAAAAGCTTCCCCTTTGCGCAGTTTTGTGAAAAGAAGGCACACAGTCATCAATAGGTGAAAGTGGGGGTGTGGAGCAGATCTCCTAAACAGATTTACTGGGTTAAAACCTGATCCAGAGGTTAGTGAAGTACAGGAAAAGCAGTTTAAGCAGTGATTATGGAAAGCCATGTTTCTGTAACATGCTTGACAAATGTAAGAAGGCAGCAGGGCAGAGAGAGTTTGTCTAAACTCTTTCACTTGCAGTGTATGCATGGGTTGGAAACCRCACCTGACTGTAGGTGGGTCTGCACTGTGCCTGAGACAGGCYGGGTGAGAAAGCTCGCTCAAGACTGGATTCAGACCATTTAGAAAGGATTTCTCCTGCTGGTCCTCTGTAAATCCCAGGCACTCTTGTTTGTTTACAAAATGCACAGGTGTGTAAGTAGYGCATGTGGTTTTGAGCCTTTAGTGGACAAGGTGCATTTTTCATCATCACCCCAGTAGGTAACCTCCTCAGTCTGGGTAAATTTAAATTGGGACTGCTCTGCCGAAGCTAAAAGAGCTAAATTGATTTACAAAAGCACTTACTTTCATTTTACTCTCCTGTCATTTCATTTTTCCCTCGTGAAGGTCTTACCTCCCTATCAGCTCTCTGCCCTTTGCAGCATTAGTGCAGTTTCACAGACAAGAGAGACAGGAGCTGTTCTGAAACAGCTCTGCCAAGGTTAGGGCTCTGCCCCTGCCCTGATGTGGCAGGAGGAAAGGGATCCACAGTCAGATGGACTTGTTCCAGCCCCACTTTGGGGCAGCCACATGATGGCCAAGTTCTTTCAGTCACTCCTGGCTCCTACCTTGTCCTCAGTGGGCATTGTCTTCTCGTTGGCTGGAAGAGGAGGGTCAAAGGGAGGAAGCAATTCCTCCATCCYGTCCTCAAACATGCCCCTGCTGAGRGAAGCAGAGTTCATAACCAGGTACACGTGTCAGGTGCTTATCAATCTCTTTTGTCGATTTGTACTATTTAGAATATGATTAAAACCGATGTCTGAGACCATCCAAATGAAGTATAATTGCTATGGATCCTCAATTCCCACCGGATCCGTAATCCTTTTTGACTATTCCTCCCCCCTCCTTCAATGAAATGGAGCTTAGACACAAAGCCCTTGGTTTAAATTTCAAAAAATTAAAATTGACATGCAGCAGCATTAGCAGGAGCCAGGAGGAATTCTAAGGAGGTGCCTGGGCTCTGCTTTATCCTTTGCATTAAGAAGCAATTTGTACTTCTAACAAAGACCCAACTGTTCCCCCTTGGCAAAAGGGCAATGAAGATGCCTTGCAAGGGAATTGCTGTTCACAATACTTAAACAAATTTGAATCTTAGATTTTTAAATCTGTATTCCCTGGTGGAGCCTGCTCCTCTCAATTCAAATGCAGGGCTGGTGGTGTGTGCCTGCCAAGGTGTCAGTAGCTAAGCGGATGATGGATTGATGMGGCAATGGGAAGACACAGGCTCACAGTGGCAGTTTGCCCCGACAGTGATCTATGTATCTGCACATTATCAATGTCATGAGGAGGCTTGAACCACCCTCGCTAGATGTCTCATTTTCCACTTATCTCTTATGTACTAATTATCAGGCTGGATTATTCCCCAGGATAGAAACAAAAAAAAAAACCCGCTCATTGCCACTCCACTGACAGWTTACACAATCGATGGAATGAGCGTCTCCCTCAGCTGCTCACAGGCTTTTTTGTTTCCTCTCCTCATTGCAGGGTCTTCCGAGATTGCCTCTGTGGGGGGTTGATGGCTCTCACCCAGCATCGGTGGCAGCAGTGCTTGGACAGGCTCCTCTGTCCCAGACATCTTGGTGCTAGCTCAGTGTGTGGGTTGTGCTTTTTTCTGAAGTTAGACAGGCAAAAGCAATTGGGAGATGAAAAACTTCAGCGCTCAGCGGTGCAGTTACCCAGAAAAGCAGAGGGAACGCTGCAGATGGGGACGGTGGTCCCTGTGCTGCTGCTGTGGGTGAGAACAGGGTCACAGCAAACAGCCTGAGGTGGCTTTGTGACTGCCTGGGCTTCAGCTGAGCCTTCCTGCCCTTGGGAATGGTCTGTGTGTTCTGCACRTTTCGTGTCACAAAGTGAAGGGGCTGTTTGTAAGGGGGATATCCTGGTCCCTCAGTTTGGATGGGAGCAGGAGGATTAATGTGTGCTCAAGGGCTGGCTTCGGCTTTCTCTGGTACTGGCTTTCACAAATGGCACTGCATCTCAAACAACCATTAGCCAGTGTCTGCTTGGGAGATCTGACACCTCAGAGAGGGTATTACTTTACTTGATGCATTAAGCAAATGCTCTCAACAACTGGGAGGTGATCAGGTGTGATGTCAATAGGGAAAACCCCCCAAAAAGGAGTGGAAGATTGGAGTTTCAGACAAAAGGTGCTGTTTCTGTACTTAAGATAAAATTATAATACAAAAGATAATATTAAAAAAAAAAAAAGACAAAAAAGACAGGTGTTCATGCTGTCGAAGTAACTTGGATACTGCACCAGAAATCCCTGATCTTTGTGCTAYCAATGTGAAACCTTGATCCTTATCCTGTGCCTGGTCAGTAGTGGCTATGGAAGGGATCCCTGGAAGAGAGGTGAGATGTTGAAGCACACAAACACCCTAAAAAGGGAAAGGGGGTTGCTGCTGAGAGCTGAGAGGGGTGCCAGCCACCCCTGGTCTGTGGTTGTTCCCTGGAGGCAAAAGTTCAGGTTACTCTTTCCCACAAACCAGTGGATTTGTGGCTGGGCACTTGTTTTCTTCTATCTTGACCTTAATTGGTTTGGAAAACTCCTGGCAAGTCTCTAGGGAGGTGGGTGAGGAAATTCTGCCTTGTCCAGGGTGAAGAGGGTGAGCTGCTGGTGCTAAGTTTTTGCCAGGCAGGATACAGAGTTGAGGAATCCATGCTGTGGGAGCCGCTGGTGTCTGGTGTCCTGCACAAAGTCTGGTGTCTCTGTGTTTTGCAGGATCTTGGCTTGCAGATTTCCTCCTTGATKCTCATTCTCTTGTGGAGCAGTGCCTGGGTCACTGTCTTGCAGCAGCAAGAACAATCAATCCTGTTTTGGGTTCTCCTCTTCCCCTTCTGCTCTTAGAAAGCAAAGCGCTGCTTTTTGTGCCTCCTGTCTTTACACACGTGCATTGAACTGCGCTTTGGTTTTTGTCTTTCTGCTACTGAAACTCACTCTGGGCATTTTTCTTGGTGATTTAATGCTTGTTTGTCTCTGCTTRGCTCCTCCAGTGGCTCACAGTGCCTGGACAGGTTTAATTTGTGAACTCAAAAAGTAGGGAGAATGGGTTTTGGTGGATGCTCATGTGTTCTTYTTCTGTTTGTGCCACAGACTAATTATATTACGGGTCTGTGACAGTAGAGGCAAAATGGTGTGTAAATCTATTTCAAATCTTTGTTAAATAACTCTTTTTTTTTGTGACTTGCTATTTTTTTCCTTTTTGTGATTGGACTGAACTCTGGGGAAAAAAAWTCCTGGTAAAATCCCGTGTCTTGGTATTGTCTCTGGGATAAAGGAGCCTGTCAGAATAAAATAAAGACTAACTGAATCTTCGCTGACTTTGAGACTGCAGGAAGTTCGGTCCTTTTTACTGTGAATACCTACATGATGCAGAGACTTGGAAGATTAATTACAGACAAGAGAGGTGAACTGTTACCATGTGCACACCCTGGCGGTTTTGGGTGAGAGCCTGCTCTCAGCTGGTTTCACATTTAAAGTCAGAAAAAAGTTCAACTTTTTTATGAACCAAAGAAAACATGGAAATGGGTCCTGTTTCTCTAGACCAAGCCCCTGCCAGTTCAGCAGTGAATCCTTTGGTCACAGAGCAGGTGCCACTGCTGCAGTGCAGGAGGTGCTTCACTGTTCCTTGAGCCAACCTTCCCTTGAATGAAATTCATTTTTGGAGGCTGTGGGGGCATTGCAGCAGGGRCATTAAAGGGGCTGAGCTGATTTCTCTCGATTTAGGACCAGTTCATCATTGCCTCAATGGTAAGTTACAAAGAGGCTGAAAAAGGGTAGGACTTGTTCCCTGGATCAGGTGGGGTACAGGGGCATTTCCTCCTGGGTGGCTGAGAGGCTGAGGCTGGGCTATGACTTGGCTTGAACGTACATTGGAATTTCTCTACTTTCCCTCTGCATTTCAAGCTGAAATCTGGTGGTTTCAGGTGATGGGCTGAAGAGTGCCAAGCCACTGTTGTGTCCTGATCCCTGCCACAGAGTGCTCAGCAGGATCTCTCAAGATTTTGAAAGGTGTAATTCAGAGGGAGCTGGGAGTGACCATCATGTTTCCTTGCAGAAGAAGCCACAAATGCCCACAAATTGGGTCCCTCCAATTATAAAGTAGCCTTAATTAACCATTCATCTGCATGGCATGGCTCCCTCTATATCCTGATAAATGGGAATAGATTTTCTTCACAGSGGCTGATGGCATATTCCTCTCTCTGCGCATTTGCTCCCATTTTGTATTTTTTGGCACGAACTMGGGTAGAAACAGAAAAGGCCTGCTTGATCTCTATGATCTGCTGCCCTATTAATGCAGGATTATTTCCTCCAGTGCTCTGTGAGCACGGTGACACAGAGAGCATGGCTCGCCTGCAGCCTTTGACTGCGCTCCTCCCAGCGAGGGCACATTCACATGATCCTGGCTCTTCGTTTTGCTTGCAGCTGCCAGATCATGTCTAGAAAAACAAACAAAAAAACTGTCCAGCCCCAGTCTTGAATGCAGCTGAAATGTTTTCTTGGTGACATTTCTCTTTGTCAACAAATTGCTTATCACTTAAGTGTYGTG